ATTTAATCACGAGATTAACAAAATTCAGCCCAGGGCTCTAAGCAGGCAAAACTATGCAGGAATGTTCCAATTCCAAAGAGGGTGATAGAAATAAGAATTTGACAACCTCCCACCTCCTACCCTCCAATACTTATCTCCCATCCCACCAAGACCAATAAAGTAAAGGGACTACTCAATTCACTTAAGACACGGCCTTCTGTCTTTTGAGTTAAACTATCTTACTTACCATGTGACCAGTGAGATAGAGACAGAAGGAGCTTACTATGTTGGACTAGAGGGGCTTACTATGTTGCTCAGGTTGGTCCTGAATTCCAGTGTAAAGTGATCCACCTCAGCCTCTCAAAGTGCTAGGAGGCATGAACCACCACACCTAGCCTCAATTTGTACTTTTGAGGAACCCATTTGATAATCTCACTTTGCCTTTTATGAAAGACTAATTAAATGAGCATTTATTTTAATAGTGTTTTATGATGTTCAGGTGAAAACTTCCTTATTTTAAAAACTAAAGACAGCCAGGTGAGGTGGCTCATGCCTGTAATCCTAGCACACTGGGATGCCCAGGTGGATGGTTTCAGCTCAGGAGTTCCGTGACACCAGGGCACTCTACCCAGGGCGACAAAAGTAAAACTCCCTCTCATAAATAAATAAATAAATAAATACTAAAGACAAAAAAAGTGAATGATTTTTTTAGCATGTGGTTGAGGATAATTTACTTTCTTTCACGAACATTGATCATTTATCTCACAAAACCTTTTAAATTAAAATGCTTTTGAGATTAGAAATTCATCAGCCTAGCATTTTGTAGGAAGAGGATGAACTGATCTTAATGGGGCTGATTATTTTTTGCTGAACACTTTAAGTTAGGTATTGAGTATATTTTTGTTTTCAGCAGTGAGTATAGTTTAACAATATGTCAAGCCATATTCCCAGTGTGAAATTGATTATACTTTTATTTTACCTGTTAACAATTAACAATTTCTCTGGAGCACTCAATAAAATCTGCAGAAGGCCCCCCTCTCATCACAAGTGAATTAACTTTAAGTATAATTTAATGAACCTTCATTTGGATGGGCACTGGGGACATCTTGGCTTCCTAAACTGTTTTTTGTTTTGTTTTGTTGAGACAGAGTCTCACTATGTCACCCTCGGTAACACATCTCACAGCAATGGTGGCATCACAACTCACAGCAACCTCCAACTCTTGGGCTTAAGAGATTCTCTTGCCTCAGCCTCCCAAGTAGTTGGGACCACAGGTGCCACATGGCCCAGCTATTTTTTTGTTGCAGTTGTCATTGTTATTTAGCGGGCCCAGTCTGGGTCAAACCCACCAGCCTTGGTGTATGTGGTTGGCGCCCTACTCAGTGAGCTACAGGCACCAAGCCTCCTAAACTGCTTTAAAAATTAAAATAAACAATCTGAAATTCCTTACCAACAGGCTCCAGGAAAGCTTAGATTTGCAAAGAGCATTTGGAACACTATCATGTTGCTATTCACCTCATTTTCCTTAGTAGCTGATTCTTTACAATATTGAGAAAAGTAGATTCCATCCCTTGAAGAATTCTTTCCTCCAGGAAATTTTTTGTCCATGTATAAATGATGTAACATTATGGTTTATGAAAAGACACATGGAAGTTGTTTTGGTTTCAAAGCTATCTTCCTTTTTTAAGATAATCAGCAATAGGAACGGCCCAGCAATAAAATAGCCTATTCCCAGAAATTATGAAAACCTGCAGTAACTCAAGCTATTTGAACAACTGATAGCTAATCTCTCGTCTAGAAGGCCACAGAGGAATCCATGCCCAGCTTCTCAAACCTTTAACGACCTAAGATGCCTACCTGTTACCTGGCTCTGTGGCTGAGCAAAGGTATGCTATGCATGCATCATTAATTTTGAAGTGGTCTATCTCAAAATGTAGCATATACAGTATATAACATTTCTACATAATACTACATTTGGTTGACTTTAATGGAAAGGTTACATTTTATGTTACTATTTAGTAAAATTGAGGCTTTAGGCAGTCTCTCCTTGGTTTCATAGCTTTGGTTAACCACTGACACAACTCTAAAGAAAAAAGCATAAGATCTAAGACTGGACAACATCTGTAAAACCAAAGTCTGACTGTCATAATTACTTGGGAATATTTTTATAAATTATGTCCAAGTCCTACTTCAGACATTTGGATCAGAATCTCCTAGAAATGGCTGGGCACAGTGGCTCATGTCTATAATCCTAAGCACTCTGGGAGGCTGAGGCTCAAGATTGCCCTGAGTTCACAGGTTCAAGAACAGCCTGAGCAAGAGCAAGACCTCCATCTCTAAAAGTAGCAAGGCATTGTGGAGGGTGCCTATAGTCCCAGCTACTTGGGAGACTGAGGCAGGAGAATTGCTTGAGCCCAAGAGTTAGAGGTTGCTGTGAGCTATGATGCCACAGCACTCTACTGAGGGAGACAAAGTGAGACTGTCTCAAAAAAAAAA